AGTAAGTTATGGTGTGAATTATAAGATGTTAATAATTTTTTTTTCCGTTTTTCTCTTCCAAAATTTGATGACGTTATCTACAATTTTGCTGAGTAAATTGAATTCAATTTATGGGCGGAGCTTAATTGCAAACTCCAAATTTGTCTACAAAAATTTGCCATTTTAAACATGTCTCAAGTTTCTTGCTATGAAAAGATGACTACGAGTATATATTAAGAAAACCAGGATAATGTAAGCCCCGCCCACCCGCCCTATCTCAGTTTTGAAGATTTGTTTCATTCGTCGTGAACCAAGGGGGCGGATCGTAACTGCAAAATCCTTATTCCTCCACAAGAAATTAAAAACATATTTTTGAGAATCGTGTTGTTCAAAGAAAACTAATTGTATTAAGTAAAATAGAGCCAAAGATTAGTACCAACCATCCTTCTCGACCTCAATCGTGACGAAATTTTCATTCGTTCTCAAAGCGAGGGGCGGGGCGTAATTGCTAAATCGGTATTTCTCTAAAAACATTTACTATTTTAAACATGTTTTAAGTTTCTTGTTGTGAAAAGAAAACTACATGATACGAAGAAAATGCAAAATGTAAGCCCCACCCACCCACCCTATCTCAATTGTGATGAATTATTTTATTCGTCGTGAGCCAAGGGGAGGAGCTTAATTGTAAAATCCTTATTTCTCTACAAAAAATTAAAAACATATTTTTGAGTATCGTATTGTTTAAAGAAAACTAATTGTAATAAGTAAAATAAAGCCAAAGATGAGCTCCACCCATCCGTCTCGATGTCAATCATGATGAATTTTTCATTTGTTTTCAGACCGAGGGGCGGGGCGTAATTGCAAAATCGGCATTTCCCTACAAAAATTTACCATTTGAACATGTTTTAAGTTTTCTGTTGTGAAAAGAACACTACACATGATAGGAAAAAAGGCAAAATATAAGCCCCGCCCACCCACCCTATCTCAATTGTGATGATTTGTTTTATTCACCATAAGCCAAGGGGGCGGATCGTAACTGCAAAATTTTTATTTCTCTACAAGAAACTAAAAACATGTTTTTGAGTATGGTGTTGTTCAAAGAAATCTAATTGTATTTAGTAAAATAAAGCCAAAGATAAGCTCCACCCATACGTCTCGATCTCAATCACGATGAATTTTTCATTTGTTGTCAAACCGATGGGAGGGACATAATTGCAAAATCGGTATTTCTCCATAAAAATTTACTATTTTAAACATGTTTTAAGTTTACTGTTGTAAAAAGGAGATTACACAATACACATATTAGGAAAAAGGGCAAAATGTAAGCCCCGCCCACCCACCCTACTCAATTGTGATGCTTTGTTTTATTCGTCGTAAGCCAAGGGCATGGATCGTAACTGCAAAATCCTTATTTCTCTACAAGAATTTAAAAACATGTTTTTGAGTATCGTGTTGTTCAAAGAAAACTAAATGTATGTATTAAGTAACAAGAAAGCCAAAAATAAGCTCCACCCATCTGTCTCGATCTCAGTCGTGATGAATTTTTCATTCGTTGTCAAACCTAGAGGCGGGGCGTAATTGCAAAATCGATATTTCTCTGCACAAATGTGCTATTTTAAAAATTTTTTAAGTGTCCTGTTGTGAAAAGAAGGCTGCACATATTAGGGGGAAAAGCCACTGTTTTTTTCTCTCAAAATTTGATGACATTCGTTATCTACAATTTTGCTGAGTAAATTGAATTCAATTTAGGGGCGGAGCTTAATTGCAAACTCCAAATTTGTCTACAAAAATTTACCATTTTACGTTTGTTTTAAGTTTCTTGTTGTGAAAAGAAGACTAGACATATTAGGAAAAAAGGGTCAAATGTAAGCCCCGCCCACCCGCCGTATCTAAATTGTGAAGATTTGTTTTATTCGTCGTGAACCAACGGGGCGGATCGTAACTGCAAAATCCTGATTTCTCTACAAGGAATTAAAAGCATATTTTTGAGAATGGCGTTGTTCATAGAAAACTAATTGAATTACATAAAACGGAAACCAAAGATAAGCTCCACCCACCCGTCTCGATCTCAATCATGATGAATTTTTCATTCGTTGTCAAACCGAGAGGCGGGGCGTAATTGCAAAATCGGTATTTCTCTGCAAAAATGTGCTATTTTAAACATGTTTTAAGTGTTATGTTGTGAAAAGAAGACTACACATATTAGAGGAAAAAAGGCCACTGTTTTTTTTTCTCTCAAAATTTGATGACGTTATCTACAATATTGCTGAGTAAATTGAATTCAATTTAGGGGCGGAGCTTAATTGCAAACTCCAAATTTGTCTACAAACATTTACCATTTTAAACATGTCTCAAGTCTCTTGTTACGCAAAGATGACTACGTATGTATATTAAGACAAACAGGAACATTGTAAGCTCCCCCACCCGCCCTATCTAAATTGTGATGATTTATTTTATTCGTCGTTGAGCCAAGTGGGCGGATCGTAACTGCAAAATTCTTATTTCTCTATAAGAAATTAAAAACATGTTTTTGAGTATGGCGTTGCTCAAAGAAAACTAATTATATTAAATAAAAAGGAAACCAAAGATAAGCTCCACCCATCCGTCTCGATCTCAATGTCGTGATGAATGTTTCGTACGTTGTCAGATCGAGGGGCGGGGCGTAATTGCAAAATCGGTATTTCTATACAAAAATTGACTATTTTAAACATGTTTTAAGTTTCCTGTTCTGAAAAAAAGACGACACATGATAGAAAAAAAGATCAAATGTAAGCCCCACCCACCCACCCTATCTCAATTGTGATGATTTGTTTTATTCGTCGTGAGCCAAGGGGGTGAATCGTAACTGCAAAATCCTTATTTCTCTACAAAAATTTAAAAACATGGTTTTGAGTATCGTGTTCTTCAAAGAAAACTAAATGTATTAAGTAAAAAGAAAGCCAAAGATAAGCTCCACCCATCTGTCTCGATCTCAGTCGTGATGAATTTTTCATTAGTTTGTCAAACCGAGAGGCGGGGCGTAATTGCAAAATCGGTATTTCTCTGCAGAAATGTGCTATTTTAAAAAAATTTTAAGTGTCTTGTTGTGAGAAAAAGACTACACATATTAGAGAAAAAAGGCCACTGTTTTTTTGTTCCAAAATTTGATGACATTATCTACAATATTGCTGAGTAAATTGAATTCAATTTAGGGGCGGAGCTTAATTGCAAACTCCAAATTTGTCTACAAAAATTTACCATTTTAAACATGTTGTAAGTTTCTTGTTGTGAAAAGAAAACTGGACATATTAGGAAATGAGGGCAAAATATAAGCCCCGCCCACCCGCCCTATCTAAATTGTGAAGATTTGTTTTATTCGTCGTGAACCAACGGGGCGGATCGTAACTGCAAAATCCTGATTTCTCTACAAGAAATTAAAAGCAAATTTTTGAATATTGTGTTATTCAAAGAAAACTAGTTGTATTAAGTAAAAAAACTAAAGATAAGCTCCACCCGTCCGTCTTGATGTCAGTTGTGATGAATTTTTCATTCGTTGTCAAACCGAGGGGCGGGGCGTAATTGCAAAATCCGTATTTCTCCACAAAAATTTACTATTTTAAACACGTTTTAAGTTTACTGTTGTAAAAACAAGACTACGCAATACACATATTAGGAAAAAAGGCAAAATGTAAGCCCCGCCCACCCACCCTACTCAGTTGTGATGCGCGAAGAAAGCGGATCGTAATTGCGAAATCCTTATTTCTAAATTAAAAGCGTGTTTTTGAGTATCGTGTTGTTCAAAGAAAACTAAATGCATTAAGTAAAAAGAAAGCCAAAGATATGCTCCACTCCAGCTTATCTTTGGTTTTCTTTTTACTTTAGTTTAGTTGCTAAATAATTCTCATTCAATTTTCTTCATTCCCGTGCAACACTTTGAGTAAATTATCTATCTTGTTGAGTGCATTACTCAGCATATTAACAAACTAAAATTATTACATCTTTATATTATGTTAATAGGAATAATTAAGACTAACTTTGTATTCCCCGTAGTACTCCTTGATAATTACGTAGTAATTGTCTCACAATTTTCGGCAGCATATTTCTTGGCATTATGTTACTTACTGAAAGAGATTTACGTATACAGCTCGGGATAAACTTGAAAAGTTTTACCCAAGGGATATTTTTTCACATTGAAACTAAGTTATTCATTCTCACAACATTTACATGAAATTTTTAACAAGACCGGCTATGTCTACAAAAGTTGTTCAGCAGCACACAATATTTACAATGGCGGTTCTAGTTGTTATTACTGGAAAGTTACATAAAATATTTCTAAGGGTTTCAAGTTTTATTAAAAGCGTAAATATTACCGCAAAATCCCAGATTAGTTTCGTGATTTAATATTTAAAACCTGAATCCACGGTGGTGGATAGTGCAAGGATTTGGTTGCAACTAATTTAAGTCGCGTACAATTCGCATAACGTAATGAGAAACGATTTGCAAATAGTAGTAGATAAACATCAACATGATGAATTCGGCATAATGCAGGAATTTTCGGTGCTTATTTGTTCGGAGTGAATGCCGGCGTTTGATACAATGAAATTAGCGTTAAAAATGGCGGCTGCTCCGCTTTCGCCGGTTTTGAATATTTGAACACACGAAGACCTAATTAGGCGGAAAATCCGCCTTTATAGTCCTCGACACACGATTTGTCGACCATCTCTGCGAAATAATGCAATCACAAACAAATAGCTTCTGATTTCGCGTGCTTTGCGACTTAAAAGCCCGAAGCATCCGCTATCGCGCCTAAATACGCTTTGATTTTTTTTTAATGAGATGTTTCGCGATTCGTTTTATTTTCTTTTTATTTCGTTCAGAGGAAACAAATTAGAAAATGTCTTTGCCCTGCGGCCCTCGTAATGCAGCTGAAATGATTTCGCATCTTCGCAATATGAAATGGCTCCAGGTTAGGTATTAACATCGAGCGCCTCCAATACCCGCTCGCAAACGAACCGAACTCACTTTTTCCTTGTATTTTCCAGGCTGAAATATGGAGCGTCTTCATAGCCATCCTCCGAAAGAGCGTTCGCAATTTACAAGCTTGCACAGACGTCGGCCTCATCGAGCATGTACTGAAGAGGTTGCGGAATGCGGACGTTGTCGTAGCAGGTAATTTATAACAGTTAAATGAAAAAAGACAACAGGGACAGTTCACTCGCTTTTCGCAGATCTTTTAATCGAAATGCTGGGCGTCCTCGCCAGTTATAGCATTACCGTAAAAGAACTGAAACTGCTGTTCGGTGCCATGAAAGCCATTAACGCCAAATGGGTGAGTACATGGGGCAGGCGACATTTTTATAACGACATTAACGCCGTTAACGCTTTACAGCCGCGCCATTCGGCCAAGCTCTTGAACGTACTCAGGCAGATGCCCCAAAGGACCGGACCGGACGTTTTCTTCAGCTTTCCGGGACGAAAGGGATCGGTAAGGGTTGTTTATATCCATTTCCGATGCCGTTAATAAAACGGAGCACTCATCTGTTTTCGTTTGTTATTTCCGGCGTTATTAGCTTTGCTGGAGGACCCGAAACGCCCATAATTCGCCAGCTGGGTCTGATTCATAAAACAGATATATACTGCTCGGTATTAAAAAAATATATATTAAATTCTGAGTTATAGCTCGAAACTCAAGATAAATATCTCATTTTCGAATCAATTTGTTCGTTATTATGTTAAAAATGGTGGAGGCGCCGGGATAATAATGACTTGAAAAACCGTAAAAGAATTAAATAAAAGCAATTTTGGAAATTCTTGAGAAAAGTGGAAGTTATTTATAATTTAAGGTTGTTTTTTGTGTGTTTATTTCGATAAAAAAATTTGCGTAGAGTACGACTCATCTGTTTTCTTTTGTTGTTTCCGACCTTATTACTCTTGCTGCAGGCCTCAAACTACCAAGTACAAGCAAAACCGTCTCTCAAGAGGGAAAATTCGGGCTCGCATTTGTTTTCTTTTCGCGTCACTAGTAATTTGTTCCCGAAAAAAATTCGTTTGAGCCACCTCCAATAACCGGAGTGTTCCGTCTCCTTTGTGAAGTGATTCGAATTGTCCTGACAGAGAAGATGTATTTTTAGTGGCCGCCGTTCCGTTTCCAGCCTTAGAAAAAAGAAAACGAATAAACACGTTAACAGTGCTACGAATAGGTTTTTCTCTGTTTGTCGACTGCATTGCGTGCTCTTAAGGAATTTGTTTGCACAACTAAAAGTTTTTCACTGTTATTTTTTCGGTATCTCGTCTTTCCATTCTCTGGAAGATGCTTTTTGCTATAATATTTCGGGGTGTTGATACAGATGTTGACGGAATTAGATACTCTGTTTTAAAGGGGGTTTTAGGGGAATAATATGGAGTTTAATGGTTTAGGTGCCGCGGCCTGAGTGGCACTTACACTACAAAATTCGTCCTGCTGTTTCCAGGATTTCGTTTTTATGGTTTAAGTTTGTTACTCCTTATACGTCGTATGAGTGCACGCATGGGGAGGATAAGCAAATACGCAAAATGTTGACGGGGTTGCGAAACTCGACACTAAGTATTTAAAAATAAATACATATTTAAAATCTACAAAAAAAAATCTAAACTAGCGAACCGATTCCTGCTGGACTTTTTACGATTGTCGTGAAGGTGGTAAATCGTGAACTAAAATTATTTTATTAATAAAATTTTCACTCCTACATTTTTTATGGACATTCCTGCAAAATTTACGAGGATATTTTATGATACAATACAGTTTTGCAATTACAGACTTGTTGATATTAAAATGTGGTGAATATGAAAATGTAAAATAGCATAATAGGGTGGATAATATAATACTATGAAATAAATTATTAAACATGTATGACTAATATCCTGCATTTCAACTAAGCATAGCTTATGAATTGGCATCTCATTTTAATGTAAATTACAAATTTGGTTCTATAAATGAATTCCTAATAAATACTTTTGATTGAATTTCAGGAAATTTTAATTAATATTATATAGTTGAAATTAAAATATTCATTGGTATGCAAATTTAACTGAAAAAGAATGTAACTTATTGACACAAATGAAAACCAAAATAATACATAAAGAAACCACCAGTTTTGCATGCAAGATGTATTCAACACATGTTTTGATCATGCACGCGTCAGATTACAGCATTAATTAATTAGAGAAAACTTTAACTTAGGTCGTTTGTTTCTGTCAGATTATTCCGTTAATTATATGTCGGGCCATTAACATGATTAGACTAATCAATATGTTAAATGAATCACCCACAAGAAGCTTTGCCTATAATATAAGTGCGCTTAAGTAAGTGTTCACTTTTTTTTTCTTGCGATTGGGAGCGACTAGCAATACGACGCGAGGACTCCTGGATTTTGTGTGATAAATAGCTGGTTGTAAAACGTTTTATTCTTGTTTCTCCGTTTACGTTAGAGGAGGTCCGCCAAGGTTTATCGTCACTAAAAACCAAAAAAAGCAGCAGCCGGCGCCACGCGCGTTCGATTTCCGCGTCTTCTTAAGCCGTGTTGCTCTCTACCCCAGCCGAAAAAAAAAAACGCATAAATTATCAAAGTTTCGAATGTATATTTTATTTTCCCTGACTTTGTGCAGGCCATCGTGCTGCCGCCGCTGGCCAAGTGGCCCTACGAAAGCGGCTTTACGTTTACGACGTGGTTTCGCCTCGATCCAATAAACTCCGTCAACATCGAGAGGGAGAAGCCTTATCTTTACTGGTGAGGTTTGGTTGTGACCACCTAAAGCAGCTCGCTCTAACCGCTTCCAACTTTTAGTTTTAAAACGAGCAAAGGTGTGGGCTACACCGCTCATTTCGTCGGCAATTGTCTGGTTTTAACATCGATGAAAATCAAGGGTAAGGGCTTCCAACACTGCGTCAAATACGAATTCCAACCGAGAAAGGTAAAGCGGACCGAAGAGATCAAAAGGAGGGCCTTTTCGTCACTAATTGTTGTTTGTTTTAGTGGTACATGTTGGCCGTTGTTTATATTTACAATCGTTGGACGAAGAGCGAAATTAAGTGTTTGGTCAACGGACAACTGGCGTCTAGTACAGAAATGGCGTGGTTCGTCTCGACGAATGACGTGAGTATACAGAGAGGGAAAGCGTTGTGTAACTGGCGCAGTCGGCAGCATATTTCCGCAAACACTAAAAGTCTGACCGATGAGTGCTATTTTGCAGCGATAAAACGCTACCTTGTAATTTTTATACCGATAAAACTGCATGATGTTGGCAGCTGCGACTTTCATTTTAGAGATTATTTCTTTTGTGAAATAACACTCCACCAGACAAATTTTAGAAGTTTTATGCACGAGCAATTTGACGCAAGCAATTTTACTGGTGCAAAATGCCACTATAGATAAAATCGGACAGTTTTACATTTTTATGTTGTCGTTATAGTGTGCAATTTCCGTGCCTATTACGTGCATCGTGCACCCGTAAAACTGACACTCAAAATGCTCTCGCAAGAACTTGTCGATTTTTGTCATCGATAAAACCCCAACGCCTTGGGATATTACATACGAGAATTATAATTCCAGCCTTTTGATAAATGTTATATCGGAGCGACGCCGGAACTTGACGAGGAAAGGGTGTTTTGCGGGCAAATGTCTGCTATTTATCTATTCAGCGAGGCTTTGACTACGCATCAAATTTGCGCTATGCATCGCTTAGGGCCGGGATATAAAGTAAGTAAGAACGGCGAAGATTTGCTCAGACGTTTTAATATAAAATTCTGTCTCCGTCTCGTGTTCTTAGTTTTGTTTGTTTCTTATATTTCAGAGTCAGTTTCGGTTTGATAATGAGTGTAACATAAATTTACCCGACAATCATAAAAGGGTGAGTGATAATGACGAGTCCACCTCTAGCATGTCTCTGACTGCATCAGATGCACGAGCCGTAAGCATTTATTTTTTTACCAACTTTTTTTCTCGCACAACTATTCCGATTCCCACTAAGTAATTAGCTCAGCTCTAAATCCAGAAGCAGGAAATGAAGAACAAACGCAAGTGTAAAAGTCGCTTCGTTTTTGTTAAGTTTCGCCAGCTTTGATGGTCTTACATTTCTATTATTTGAAGTAGAATCCAAGCCCCGAGATTTTTAGCCGCATGGATTAGATGGACGCCTTTTGGCATCGAGGATCAACCCACACACAGTCCTCCATTCTAAATGAAACAGCTACATGCAACGAAATCTGACGTAATTTCGTTCGTTTTTTGTCGAAACCGTGAATTCAATTTGTAGAAATAGCGCTTCCACACATTTCATTTTTTATCAATTAAAAAAAAAAAAATAATCCTACCGACTGCGCCACTTTTACTCGCCGTTTCAAAACAAATCAAGTCAAGTTGCAGTTGTGGCTGTCGTCAACGTGAGATGGTCCCTCGTTTTTGAAAGGCGTCCGATAGGTGTTTTCGTATTTAGATTTTATTCCCCGTGACTCTTTTGTGTTTTGTGCGTTTTTAAATAAACTTGTAGGTGTTGTACGATGGAAAACTGTCAAGCGCCATCGTCTTCATGTACAATCCAGTAGCTACGGATAGTCAACTATGTCTGCAATCTGCTCCCAAGGGAAATATATCTTACTTCGTCCACACCCCCCACGCTCTCATGTTGCAAGTAAGTCGCGACGAAGAGAATCTGAAATCCGTCTATTTTCACTCGAAATTATTCATTTGCAGGATGTGAAAGCTGTGATAACACATTCCATCCACAGCACTCTCAACTCGATAGGCGGCATCCAGGTGTTGTTTCCTTTATTTTCCCAGTTGGATTTGCCTTACGAAACGAACGGATCGTCAGATTCTAAAAGAGATCCCACTTTATGGTGAGTTAATAATTCATTTATCTCTGTTTCCTCTATACACAAGCAACCCTTTCACAGCTCAAAGCTTCTGGGTTTCATATGCGAATTAGTAGAGACTTCGCAGACAGTCCAGCAGCACATGATACAGAACAGGGGATTTTTGGTCATCAGCTTCATGCTGCAGAGGTCGTCGAGGGATCACCTAACGTTGGACGTGCTGGGATCATTTCTTAGTCTCACGAAGTACCTCGTCACTTGTCTCAGTGCCAATAGCGAACTGCTACTCAAACAGGTAGGCGCGTTGGCGATGCCACTTTTAGGCGACTAGAGAGGAAATGACGTATAGTTAATCAAATGGTCTATTTTACAGGAAGTGTCATTATGCATGTTTCGATTTCTTCTTTGTTGTCGTAGTAAGGATAGTTTTGACGAATTGGCGTTAGCTTAGAGCATGACTAAAACTCATTCGTAGTGCGATGTTCGTAGTGATTGTTGTCTCTATCCGACTAACAAAACTGTAGAACGAAAAATGTACGGTATGCTTTTGAAGGAACGGGTCAACTACCCGTCAGTGGTACACTCGACGGACTGTTGACCCTTTTCACCGTTCCTCAAAGAGAATACCGACCTTCCGGGCTTTACATGTTTACCCTTGAGTGCGCGCAGCGCACACCATTTTGTGACTGAGTTGATCCCATTAATTCTCAAAAATTCGCTCTGCGCTTCTTAAAAAACCAGTACTTATCCAAGCATGTGAGAGTTACGTTTATTTGGTCTTTGCTTCTTTATGTTTGTTAAAAATTATATTTTCAAAACGAATATATGTGAATGGGTAAGTACCGGGAGCAGTTTTATCCATCTTGATTTAGTTGTTTTGCTTCTCGTTCCTCACCTGGCAGCTTCTCGATCACGTCCTCTTCAATCCGGCGCTGTGGGTCCACACGAATCCAATGGTTCAAGCAAGACTATACAGCTATCTCTCGTCGGAATTCCTTTCGGATACACAAATCTACTCGAACGTGAGAAGAGTGTCGACCGTACTTCAGACTATACACACTCTTAAATATTACTATTGGGTGGTGAATCCGAGGGCTAAAAGCGGAATCACGCCGAAAGGATTAGGTAAATACGATTTTCTACATGGATTTTGTTTAGTGATTTATGTTCTGAGCTAAGCCGTGTTGCGGAGACGGACAGGCTTTTATGCGTCGAAAATAATAATCGCTATTTGCAACTAACAGATAAGCTGTAATATCTATCGCACGTCTTAACATGTACGAGCCCTAACAACTAAAAATGTAATTTATTTTGGATAATTAAAATTTTAAATTTAATTCGTTTTTCAAAACTGTTAATGTTTACAGCACAATAAAAACTGCTTTCTTAAACTCAGACAGTGACATAAAACTCTAAAATAACGTAACATTTTGTGACACATAAATATTGGAACACAGCAAATTCAGTAACTGGTCATATCTCCTTTTGCCTTAATAACTGCAGGAATTCTTGCCATCATACTTTCAACTAATTTTCTGCAATACACAGGAGTTGTTACCGTATCCTACACTCGCTAAATTGCCTGTTGAAGATTGACAATTGCTTGTCATGGATGATTTCCTAAACATTTTTTTATTTCACGCCATACCGTCTCTACTAGATTAGGATCTGGGGTATTCGATGGTCAGGGCAAACATTTATATTATTATTCTTTGTAATAAATGCTGTAGGTGTGTAACTTGAAGCATCATCCTGTTGAAAAATTATAAATATCAACAGGATAGACTGCTTCAGTAGTTGTTAATATTTCTTTACAAAGTCTCTTGATATTTGTTAGCATTTGTAATTTCCCTTCCATGAACGTTGTTAACTGGTCTTTAAATTCCGTTAATAGAAATGCACCCCCAAACCATTTTCCGCTTGCAAACTTGACTGTTTGTTTGAGATAATCCATATTAAAATTCCTTTTTTATTTCAATTACTCTTTTTCGACTATTATCTCACCCAGACATCAAATTTAGACTCAGCGTTAGATATTACTTTTCTCCAATTTTTATTTTGGCCATATTAACCGATTTTTCTTGTGGGCAATTTTTAATTGTGGTTTTACTTTAGCCTAAAATAATATAAATAAATAATAAAGTCCATCAAAGATAGCTTTATTTAAGATTTACAATGTAAAAACCAAAACCTGATTTGTGTATCCATTCACGACAATATTGTCTTGAAAAATTTAGTTGGTTATCGCTATTCCAGTAAGTACTAATTTCTCTTGAAGTACTCCGTCATCTACTTTTATAAATTTTCATCAGTTGTCGTTGATCACCGGGAATTTTACCTTTTATTCCGATGGTACCTCTGTCTGCGTAATATTTTACGATGTTTACCATCGACCACTAAGCTATTAGGAACAAATCTTCACTTTTTCTAATCGATTTTCCCTTGCAGTACTGCGAAATTATTATTTTCAGAACTTTTACTAAAACTAGCCCCCCGTTAACTATTTTCTAAATAAAACCAACACTAGCATGAAATGCCTACGATCCCTACAATAATGGCAGCATTTACCAGCTACTACGTTTGTATTTCTCGGGGGTCCCAACATGTAAATGTCAGCAAAAATGGCACATTTTTTAGTTAGGTGACAATTTTTGCGCTCCAAGAAAATTTATTAATTTGCAAAATAGCTCACTCTCTGCCAAAATAGATGCCCATGCAAAATTTGCATTTAGTCCAAACAAATTGAATGATATCAAAAATATGTACCGGATTTTTTTGAAAAATTGTCTGTGTCCCAATATGTAGTTGTTAGGACTCGTAAACCTTTCTCTACAACCGTCTGATATCAAATCATGTTATTAATTACTAGGGCAGTAGTGAATCTCATTGAAATAATGCACTTTACGGAACTGCGGTGAAAGGATAAATAATTAATACTCTGCTTGCGTGTAGGATTAGTGTCGCCGTCCCGATATTGTAGCATATAATTTTGTTTACCTTATCGATTCCTTTTTTGCAGACGGTCCCCGCCCCGACAACAAAGAAATCCACAGCATCCGTCAGTTTATTCTGCTTTTTCTCAAACAGCTGATAATGATCGGCAACGGCGTCAAAGACGACGAGCTCCAAAGCATTTTAAATTATTTGACGACGATGCACGAAAACGAGAACCTCCACGACGTGCTCCAGATGTTGATTGGGTTGATGTCTGAACATCCTTCGTCTATGGTTCCGGCTTTCGACGCCAAGTACGGCGTACGAACCATTTTCAAGCTGTTGGCGTCTGAAAGTCAGTTAATTAGACTGCAGGCTCTTAAATTGTTGGGATTTTTCCTCAGTCGAAGCACCCATAAAAGAAAATACGACGTTATGAGCCCGCATAATTTGTACACGTTGCTCTCGGAGAGGCTGCTTCTAAACGAGGACGTACTCACCATTCCCACTTACAATGTTTTATACGAGATCATGACGGAGCATATTAGCCAACAGATACTTTACACCAGGCATCCGGAACCCGAGTCGCATTTTAGACTGGAGAATCCAAGTAAGGGCGGATACGCGAAAGGACCCATTTTACTCATTTAAACTGAAGTTGTTCACTTAGCGTAGCTTTAAAAATCAAGCAATTCGATTCGCTTTGAATACAAAATAATAATAATAACAATAAAATTTGTCATTTCAGTGATCCTGAAGGTGGTGGCTACCCTCATCCGGCAGTCGAAGCAGACCGAGCACCTCCTCGAAGTGAAGAAGATGTTCCTGTCCGACATGACCCTCCTCTGCAACAACAACCGCGAGAACCGGCGCACCGTGTTGCAGATGTCGGTGTGGCAGGAGTGGCTCATCGCCATGGCGTACATCCACCCGAAGAACGCCGAAGAGCAGAAGCTCTCCGACATGGTGTACTCCCTCTTCCGGATGCTCCTCCACCACGCCATCAAGTACGAGTACGGGGGCTGGCGAGTGTGGGTCGATACTCTCGCCATCGTCCACTCGAAGGTCTCCTACGAAGAATTCAAGCTCCAGTTCGCCCAGATGTACGAGCACTATGAGCGCCACCGGGCCGACAACATCACGGACCCGCTGGTGCGGCAGCAGCACCCTATTAGTACCATCTCCGGGTGGGACCAGCAGACCCAGGTCAGCAACGGGTGTCACGCTGAGGAGGAGCGGTGGCACAACTCGCACGGTACTCTGCAGGAGATCGAGCAGGAGAACGACAAGTCGGAGCCGGTGTGCAGCTGCGATTACAACTCTACGATGTCGGAAGGAAGTCCAGCGTCGTACTTAGCGAAGCACGACGATAGCGAGGGTGTGTCGTTAGATTCAAGGACTAGCGATTTGTATAGTGACGTGAAAATTGGGAAGGAGTCGCCGTTTTCGCAGGACTCGCCGATCAAGTCGCAGGTGGCGGAAGACACGCCGGAGTCGATCGAGGTGACGGAGGGGTCGCCGGTAAGAGTAGCAACGGTAATTATTTATCTTGGTAATTGTCGGGTTGCAGATCTGTAACGGTATTCACAATGAGAGCAGTCCCAGTTTCGGCAGCCCGAGCAAGGCGAACGACGACAAAGTGGAGATCATCGAAGAGATAGTGCGGGAGATTCTGAACAAGTCGGAGAAGCTGCTCGAGGAGCGCGTAGTCGGCACGATTTCTCCGGTTGTTCAAGACGAAGAGATCGTCCAGGCGGTGAACGAAGTAGTGAACAATGTCGATAAACCGGGCGATAGTGAAGAAAGCAATTCGAAAGAGAAGGACATTTCCGTGTCGGACGTGACGACGAGTCCCGAGAAGGAAATCCCGGATAGCGACTTGTCCGAGCGGTACTTGACTCCGACCGAAGAAACCGAGAAAGTCAGCGAAGAAACCGACAATAATAAAGATTGTAGTGGTGACGCGGTAGCTAAAACGGACATTTCGGAAGTTACAAATTCTAAAGAACCTGATAAATTAAACGTAAGTGTTAGTGATAAACAGACTGATAATAAAATATCCGAAGCTGTGCCAATTGTTGAAAATAGTGCTGTGTCTGTAGAATTAGAGCCGTCCAATGTTGATTCTAGTCTAGACAAGTCGAACATTCCGAACGAATCTAGTGTTAATACCGCAAAGTCGGTGGATGATTCTAAAACCGATGAAGGCACCGAAACTAGCGAAGTGCCTGCTGTTGAAAATATACCAACGATTTCACAAATCTGTGATCCTAGTCATTACACGACGACGTCGACCGACGTCGCGGAACCAGTACTTAACGATAAACAGGAAGCCACGGGGGACGACTCGAAGAGAAGGGTCAGCTTACCGGCGAACCACGTCGACGGACAACCCAGTGAAAACGTAAAGGAGCCGGCGACGGGCGCCCAAGTGTCGCCCCAAAAGAGGCCCCGGAGCGCTTCGACCTCGACGCAAGTGGATCCCAACCATTTCGGTACATACACCCATAATAAAAAATCATTGTGTCTCATTTAAGAAACCCTATATACAAATTGTATTCCGGTCCGCGGTCATCTTCTCCCATTAGGTGTGGCATTAACTCCGGTCCGGTAGAGTCAAGATTTGACTTTTGACCGGAGTTGATGATCACCCGTACCAATAACCTAGAGCCTTAGCTGATTTCTGGGTTTTCTCAGATAACAAACGCTCAAAGTCGGGTTCCTCGTCGACGCGGCCGATGTTCAGTCCTGGGCCAACCCGGCCCCCGTTCCGCATTCCCGAGTTCAAGTGGTCGTACATCCACCAGCGTCTCCTGTCGGACGTTCTGTTCTCCCTGGAAACGGACATCCAGGTGTGGCGAAGCCACTCGACGAAGACCGTTTTGGACTTCGTCAACAGTAGCGAGAACGCCATTTTCGTGGTCAACACGGTCCACTTGATATCGCAGCTTGCCGATAATCTAATCATTGCTTGCGGAGGGTTGCTGCCTCTTTTAGCTTCAGCTACATCGCCGAATGTAGGTTATGTCTAATTTATGTCTGTGAAGCTAATCCAGTAGTTGCAGAGTGAACTAGACGTAATCGAGCCTACTCAAGGCATGCCGATCGAAGTCGCCGTTTCGTTTTTGCAGCGCTTGGTCAACATGGCCGACGTTCTAATTTTTGCCAGTTCGTTGAATTTCGGGGAGTTGGAGGCGGAGAAGAACATGTCGAGTGGGGGGATCCTGCGACAGTGCTTGCGACTGGTGAGTGGTCGCTTCCGTGATTTTTGTAAATTCAAAATTTTGTAAAAAAACAGGCATGTGTGTACATATTGTAAATGTGTTTATAATTTTTGTCGTTGTGCGTGTGTTAGGTTTGCACTTGTGCAGTTCGAAACTGCTTGGAGTGTAAAGAGAGGAGCCGTCCGCACCACACTATTGCACCAACATCACATAACGCTACTCACAAGGCAGCACATTTACAGTCTTTCATAAGGGGAGGCCAAAACTCCCCGAAGGTAAGTCGTTTGCGACGCTTTCCCGCGACTGTCGCAACTTCGACAAATTTTTCAAACGCGGTTTTTACAGACCATCGCCGACAACCTCTCCCAATCCACTCCAGTCAAAGACCCGGAGAAGCTCCTCCAGGACATGGACGTGAACCGCCTGCGCGCCGTAATATACAGAGACGTGGTGAGAACGTTTATCCAGGCACTCACGTTAGCAGACTAACTAAACCAACCCTCTAACGATCACAATTGCAGGAGGAGACTAAACAGGCCCAGTTCTTGTCGCTTGCCATAGTTTATTTCATCTCGGTGCTGATGGTCTCGAAGTACCGCGACATCCTCGAGCCGCCGATCACCATTCGCCCGCCGAGTCCGGTGCCGGCCATTCGGAACAACGGAACGTCGCACATGTCGGGCAGTCCTCAAGGTAAGTACTCGAGTGTGTGCCGTCGTTGCCGTTCACCCACACGCTTTCACTCGCACGACGAGAATTAACAATCATCATTCATTTCTGTGGATTAGTCGACGATGTGTGCTAATGTCTTTTTCGTGTTGCTTGCCATGCAGAAGGGAGCGCGAGGCCTCTCTTCCCGCAGTGGTCACACCACGTTTATCCACAATTCCTCCCAGGTACCCATCCCAACGCCGTGCCTCACCACAATTACGTGAGGCACAGGCACTCCTACGTCAAACATCACTACAACCTTAACAATAACCACCACTCGCATCACCACAACCACAAAATTGACCACCGCTACCACAGAAATTCAATTGCTGGCCACCCAGGTAATTGGTGTTTGGACGACGTTGTTTTTGCGAGCACGAAACGCACAGTAGTGCTTTGTACCAACTAGATTTTACACAAGGCGATGATAAAAAGTGGTGCATCAAGTTACATAACCAATAAGAAGATAAATTACCGACTTTTTATAATCACCTTGTATTTATGTGTAGGTAAACTGTTTAACACCCTCAGGTTTCCAGTGCACGTCGCTTTATATTCGCCCATTTATTATCTGCAACTTTACCCAATATGTTTTAAGTTGCCTTAGTTTTTCGTACTTAAGCTTGTTCGTCATTGTCTGGAGCCATAAATTCCCGAGTTAAAATATGTAATACTGTTATAGCTTCCCGCGCCGTTCACAACCAGGCGTCTCAAGAAGACGTCGATTATGACGTCATCACCGCCTACGTGATGGAAGACAGCAACTCGGTGGTTCAAGAGAACGATTTGCACTCGGGCCCGCCTTCCATCAAGGTAACTATGGTCGAGAATCCAACGACTCGGTTTTGGTTACGAATGGATAGTCCTAGTGTTCCTAGATGTGCTGTTTTCTCAGATTAACACCCGAATGGATGTTCAGAATGTGTATGATTGGTGAATGCCGTCGTTGGTCTGTTTTTATTTTTAGTACTAACAGTTTGCTTTGCTGCGGCGTGCCTTTTAACAGGTTAACGCTAGACAGCGTCCTTCTCTGGGACATGGGTTCTCTGTAGATTATTCTTTGGATGGAATAAGGCATGCTCGAGGTCGTGACAATGCTCGTGTTAAGAAGGTAATGCAGATTTAATTGCTTGCGGTTTAGCTCATGATCCACACTTTTACTGCACCGGTCTTGCATTTAGTTATATTTGATTGGGTCGGTTATAACGTCACACTCGTTTCGAAGCAGTTTTGAAATCGGTGGCTAAAGTTGCGTCGTGTGAGAGTAAGTAGGGATACTTTGGGCACTTGATTAAAATTGTTTCGAGCTGGCTCGCATTGGTCAGTTGACATAACACAGAACCGGGCGCCAGTTTTTTTACACAATACGCTCCTCTCACACTAAGTTTGTAATAAAACGCGTTCATTTCGTCTTATGTGAACTGACCTCGCAATTTAACCACATTAACGCAATAGGTGCATGATGATCACCACCACACTTGAAATTATCCCCACTGCGAAACAATTCTAACGTGTCTTAATTTAGAGCGCAGATTCGGTCGAAGACATCAACTCCGTCAACTCGTCCGAAACCAACAACGTCGGTTCCAACAGCGAAATCACAATCGAAGACAACAAAGTCAACAACGACGAGAACTGGACCGACATCAACTTGAACGAAGACGGCGAAACTAAAGAAGATTCCCGAAATATCCAAAACATGTCTCATTCGGAAATCATCGACATTGAAGGAAACATTGCTCAAGAACGTGCCGATAAGCACCACCCGGAGATCTCGGTGGTTAGAGTACCGGATAACGTGATCCAAGCCCCGACTCAAATCCGACCGGACGATTTACCGGTGAACAACCTAGTGGATCACATCTCCGTGCCCACCCCTTCGCGGGAAGCCTCTCTCACTCAAAAACTCGAGATGGCGCTGGGATCGGTGTGCCCGCTTTTAAGGGAGATTATGGTAGATTTCGCCCCGTTCTTGTCAAAAACTTTGGTCGGTTCACACGGACAGGAATTATTGATGGAAGGGAAAGGATTGACGACTTTCAAGAACAGCAACTCCGTCGTGGAATTAGTGATGTTGCTGTGCTCGCAGGAGTGGCAGAATTCGCTACAAAAACACGCAGGGTTGGCTTTTATCGAACTGATTAATGAAGGGAGGTTGTTGTCGCACGCCATGAAGGATCATATTGTCAGGGTTGCGAATGAAGCCGAATTCATTCTGAATAGAATGAGGGCAGACGACGTGTTGAAACATGCAGATTTTGAGGTAAGCGCTACGTTTGTAACATGAATGATCCTCACGTCACGATTGTTTCAGTCTCAGTGTGCACAAACTCTGATGGAACGTAAAGAAGAAGAGAGAATGTGCGACCACTTGATAACAGCGGCCAGAAGGAGGGATAATGTAATAGCCAGTCGTCTTTTGGAGAAGATTCGGAACATTTTATCTAATAAACACGGTGCTTGGGGTTACATGGATCCGGCAGCCGCAAAGTAAATGTTTTGTCAAAGTTTTATTTGTTGGTGTTTAGTTGATGTTTGTAGGCTGAACGAATTTTGGAAGTTGGACGCTTGGGAGGACGATGCGAGGAGAAGAAAACGTTTCGTGCACAATCCCTTGGGGACCACCCATCCGGAAGCCAGTTTGAAGGCTGCCATCGAACACGGGGCTCCCGAAGACGCCATTTTGCAAGTAAATAAATCGGTTTGTTTGAGTTTGGCGTGTTTTCGTGCAACTTTAATGCGCGAAGGAAAGTTTCAGAGCGAAAATAGCGGAAGTGATGGCATTGAGGTGAACGGTTTTTTGTTGGCTGAAAAATTGAAATTGTTGAAAAGATTTGCTAAAAACACTATTTTAAACCTGAAAGACGTGATAACTTAAATTGACGTGAAAAAAAAATGAAAGCCCGCGAAAAATCGAAAAATTCAAAAATCTGGCCTTGACTGTGATCGTCTAAAAAAATGGAACCCTACACTGTGTTTTTAAAAAAAAGGCAGGGTGCGTTCAGATACAAATGGTGGACCCCAAGGTTGTAAAAGTACCGCTAAATAAAACACCAAATATAGGGAGGACACAAAATTATTTATTCTTCCACTAACAAAAAAAAAAAAAAAAACTTTGAAATCAAACTAAACGTTCTGAATCAATGCAAATATTTGAGTATCACAAATTTAATAAAAACAAAGAAAAATCAGAATTAAAGTAACTGGATACAAATACATAAGTTATTACGGGAACAAAGTTTTAATAAAAACTATGCAGCGGCACCAGAGCTGTCTAAGAGTGTGCAATCGAACTATCTCAATTTCATTCTAGAACACAGCAGAATTACCCATAGGGAGTGTTGTAGCACGAGCGGGGTTTGGGGCTCCTGGTCGTGGCTGCTCTCCTCCCACGACGGTCGCAAACTCGTTGTTGGAAATCACGGATAGATAAGCCGAGAGCGTCACGTCATCCCGACCGTTCCCCTGACTTCTATCCTAGGCCTGCATCCTCTGCGCGTATGACGCGACCGCCACCTCGACAAGGAACCGCGCACTCCGCTTCCGCCACGTGTTATTGTGTTATTTACCTCAGTTCCATTGTAAATGTTCACTTTCAATGACTCTAATATTAAACTATAACCGAACAAGTATAAGTTTAAAAAAAAAGAGCAATAAACAACATTTAAATTCGCCATACACTCCCGCGAAATTTTACACAGCAAATAATTCTTATTTGAGATTAAGATTGAACATCAGATAATTTATATGATGGAAACATTAATCAAAATATTTACGAAACAAAAAAACTAGCAAAGATTTATAAAAACGAAAAGATCTAGTATGAAATAAAACTTGTGCAGATAAAAAAATTACGTGAGATTAGGAACTGCAGAGCATGAAAATTTACGTTCAATGTAAATTATACAGCAAAGAAAATTACTGAGGCTAAAATTATGAGATACAAAAAAAATTTATAAGATAAAAAATTGCAGAACTAAGAAAATTACGTGAGTTTAACTGCCCATTCACAATGGACATAAGACAAGAACGAGCGCATAACATAATTTACGTTTTTGGTTTGTGTCAGGCTTATGCTTATCTAATATGTTCACAGTGGACAGAGTGAACTCTGTAAGAATTATTAAACTGCGCAAACGCAGAACCGAATAAGTCCCGGGTAAACATAGAAACGGCTAACCTCAAACTGAGTCAATCAAAATATCTAACCTACAATTTCATACGATATTCGAACTTGACAACTTGCAGTACAGAACAGACTCGCAGTGTAAAGCTTTCATTATAATATATATAATATAATCATGGCCGACTAGTATAAAGATTATGGCCTGTCCAAGAGATACGATACGTGTTGCCATCTATTAATAATTACACTTAATAATTTAGCAAAATTGTAATTTGACTTGACATTATGGGACTTCAAAACGTGTAATGGTGGTTTGTTTGGGTATGAATGCCTTTGTGCCTTTCAAAAGGTGTTAATAATTCTTTTGTCGATTTTGAATTATTAATAGATGGCAGCACGTATGGTACCTTTGGCATTCCTTTGGACAGACCATAATCTTTATACTAGTCGGCCATGAATATAATCAAAGGTACGAAGTGCCAAGTGCCAACTGTCAAAGGAAATTCAATAGCAGCATTCAAAAGTCCCTAGATTTTAACATAATTTTGACATAATTCGTACACAAAGTTGAATTTATTTCAACTTTGTGTACGCACACAAAGATTACATAAAACGTTCATAAGCATAAGAATTACGTTCGTCCACTGTGAACAGAGGTACACGTTTTCCATCGTTTCAACTTTATGTATTTATGTAAGCTTTATGTACTTGTTATGCCTTATGTCCATTGTGAATGGGCAGTAATATTTTATGTCCATTCGAGTTATTGGTTAATTATTAATGACTCACAATGTTGTTAATTTGTTCAATAAGATTTTACAGTTCAAACATATGCTTGGTTTGAAAATACTCTTTCAACATGAAGAATTTACCTGACGTTAAGTTATGCCACACTTTATCAACGATTCAAACAAAGAGTTTAAATTAGGTTAAATGATGCCTTGATCCAAATGTTTGGTTACTTAAAACAATAATTAGCTTTGACAGTTTATATCGTGGACTGTCCCCAACTTATTCTAAACAAAACACATGATAAATAAACAACACAAAATGTTTCCGGCATTGCGAGAAAAACTTCTCGGTGATGTATTTTTTCACGTTGCGGAAAAACATGTCTTGGTGATAGCGCTTTCCACATTGCGAGAAAAATATGATATTGATATTATGATAATAACGATGATAACTGCCTAAAGGGAAAAATTTGTAATCCCCCCATACCTCAGTCCACGCTATTATGAATTCTACCGTACTTTCACTGTCCTTTTCCCAGAGTGGGATAACGTTGGGTTAATTTTAACTGCCGTAAATGAGCTATTAGCGATCTTGTGGGAAGAATTAAGAAGTGTTATAATGTAACACTTAAGTATAAGCATCCAAAAACTTATTCATAATTTTGTTAACAAAGGGTGAATCCTGACTAAATGAATTTCATGAAAACTCCTGCAAGTGCTCAGTCTGAACAACTGTAATGTCTGTTAAATTGTGTTAGAACCAGTTAACGATTAAAATCCTAACATGATCCGTGAATTTATAAACAATGAAATAAATTTACACGTGTTAGCTTCGATTGAAAATTCACCTATTTCTGCTTGGACAAACCACAAGAATTAGCTACACGTATTGAGGAAACTTTGTCGTCGTCGACGTTACGATTAATTTTCGTTAAACAAAGGCTCTCCCTTTTTTATTAACTACCAAACTAACTAAACTTAACCTAGCTGGCGACCGTCTAGCAACCCAGCACACCCCGCTACCAACCCTCTAATCAAAATTCCCAAGCAGAACTACGAACCACCAGAAAAAGAACTAAACATGCACATTGTTGCCTATGTTTAACGATTTTCTTGATTGAAACGCGAAATTTTAATTCAAATTCGGTCACCACGACGTAAAGATCTTAAAAAAATGAAAGGAAAGAACTCTTTTTGTAATTTAGTATTCCCGTACTGTAATATGCAGCTGAATATAAGTACGAGCGCCGACTAAACCAAACATTATTTTAAAAATTCCCGAATGCTAGACGCTACTTGATCAAGGACTTCTGACTTTGTTTTTGGTAAATCCAAAAATGTACGAAACCTCTGGAAATATATTTTGAGTTGCATCTCTGGTTTATTTAGATTCATGATTACTCGTGATTTGCTTTATATTTATTTAACACATCTTACTTCTTCAAAAATTCTTAAACAACTGTATGAGTGTTTTGTAATAAAAATGAAAACTTTAGGTCATTTTCCACACACGTTAGATGTATTTGATGCCCATAATAAAGGTTTCTGTTTTCCCGGTCAAATCGGCTGTCAGTAGTTAACCAATTTAGTTCTAGATGGCGCTGGTAGTGCCGTTTCAAATAAATTTGTTGATCATTACGAATATCGCTAACTTACTAAATTATTTAGTTTAAAAACAAACATAGTCGTCTGAGGATTTCTTCCCTTAAAGAAATTTAATAACAAATATTTTATAATTAAAAAAATATATATCGCATGACACAAATAAACGCTTCCTGGTAAAGTTCATAGTGTGCAAATCTGCTGTTATAGCACCGACAGACGATACCGTACTTTGGGTATAATTTTCTACCATCCATCAATGATCTACCAATAAATCAGTCAAATAAATCAACATTAAGTGATCGCGAATGTTTGGGTGGTTGCTAGACCGAAACGAAAACGAATCGCTTCTAAATTATATTAAAAAAACAACTACATACTACCATTAGTGTCGTCTAATTTATCACCAAAAAGTTGATCGTTTCCTTGTCCAACTTCAACTTAAACGTGATTGCCCAACCCATCGTCTCTTATTGACGGTGGTGTAATTGATACTCCTGCCTGAATGCCGTCCGATCGCTATAAATTCAGCTCTATCATTAATTTTTCATTTTGTCGGCGCATTGTAATCACACTGTAATAATTAGGCCCGAGAAGAGTTCCACGCCCATTTGGCCGCCACGAGGAACCAACAACAGATCCAGCCGAATGATTTAATGGACGACAGTGAACTTTTGACTGATGACAGAGAGTTGGATAACGATTTGACGGGTATTTGTGTTAGAGCAATTAAAAATGTGGCATTAATGATCAATTTTAGGCCCCGTCAACATCAGCACGAAGGCGAAATTGATCGCTCCGGGCGTGGTGGCTCCGGGGATGGTCTCGATTACATCTACCGAACTGTACTTCGAGGTGGACGAGGACGAGGCCGAGTTCAGGAAGATAGACACGGAGGTGAGTTAAGAGCGTGTCAGAGAGTGTTTGACATATGATAATTATAAATAGATTAAGGAGGCTTCGAAATTTAATTATCGGGTTCGGGGCCGAGGTAATTTTTTTTAATTGGTTGTAATGATTCGGTAGTCGATGGTTGCGGTAATCAATCTAGTCGACGATTTGGAAGAGGGGTTATTAAAGCAAAAGATGCAAGTTTGTCATGTTTACATAAGGTTGTCGGCCGGACCCGCCCATACTTCTCATTGATTTATTGTTTTCCTGATGAATATGCAACGTGCATAACAGATTTCAATAAAGGAGGTAAGATTAATGGACGATTGAAGCGAGAAGAAAACGACAGGACTGGCTTCAGGCTTTTACGCGCCCAAAGAAAATTTTTGCCTTTAAAATTTTTAATTTAACACTCACACCAAAGTCATACAATTTCGAATTTCCTCCCCCAAAATTTGCAAATGGACCCGTCTGGACGTTTTTACGTCTACTGCGCCGTTTTCTTGTTATGTTGTTCGCAACGTATTTATATTCTAAAAATAACTCGGGCTATTTACACCCTAAGAAATCTTCTTCCAAACAACGCCTTATCAATTTACTAAATCCTTATTTATCAGTTTCTGTTAAACAAGATTTCAATCTATTGCTTTGCGGCAACTTTACTTTCGTATCGTTAGTCACAACTTGTTAAGATTTGTTTATTTTAAAATAAGTGTAAAATGGAAAAAAAAATCGACTGCTAATTAATTATGATTTTTTTTTTTTTACAACTGTTGTAACAGTGGCCGAAATTGTCGGTAGAACAAACGTTGGGTTTAGAATTTCACAATTTCGGTGTGCGTTTACTAATAATTTATTCAAGAGTAATTTTATAGTAGTAAAATAAAAAAGATGATGTGCCCAAGGGCGGTTGCTTTAGCCATAGTATGCCGGTCTAAAAATTCGCATGATTGTTTTCGCCTCAGCGCCGCATTAACCCAACCCACGTTGTATGTTTTCGGATAATAAAAGTATCAAATAACTCACTCGAGGAATATCTGAGGGTTTTTCGAAAGAATTTATGCCCAAATAAAACGATACGGACTGGTTGGTACCTGGCCACAAAACAAACAGAAAATTTACATAACGTTGAGAGCCGCGGTACGCTTTTTTTTTCGGTCCGATGCCCGTCCACCGATGTTATAAAATCAATTGGGTGGTGGTTTTTTCAAAAGGTAGGTGGCAGCAGCCGGTTCGCCGACAATCTAAATAAACAAACAAATGCACACGCTCACACACAAGAGATAAACCCCCGTGGTTACTTGTTGCATACGAAAACGTGGTAAATCACGAGGCCGGCCGTTGTTTGCAAGGCACTGATTATAGGATTAGAGTTGTAGCGTATTTATTACGAGTCCTCATAAAGAAAGGCAAGCACAGCGATGGACGTTATCGCGCATATTAAACGCCCTGCGAAACGTCAACTTAAATAATTCCGCCCATTCACTAAGCGCCCCGTGCGAGGCATTACCGACTGGAACACACCTCAGGTTTGTCCGTTACTCCCCCACTGTCGAAGGGAATTTTTGCCGCAGTATGTATGGTCAGGACAAGCCTTCGCCGATAAAGCGGCGGTTGTTAAATGATGTACGTTGTTAGCGTTTTAAAGAAAATTCTGCAAAGCATGTTTTTATTATGTCGTGAGAATGTTGGGTACAAAATTCTATTAATAGCATTTTTATTAGTAATGAATAATCCATGTTGCAACAAGGGTTTTGATATATATATATATATATATATATATATATAATCTAATGCCTTGTTTAACCTCAGGTGCCCAGGTGTGTCCAGTCATATTTCACTGTGTACAAACTTAGCCCACTTTTCTTGTCTTTGCCATTATTTTTGTTTCTTCATTTCTTTTAAGATCCTAGGTTTTCTTTGGTCTTTCACCTGGTCTTCTTGTCGTTATTTTTCACCTGCCTGGTCTCTTTCATTGTTATCAGATGACCGATCCACTTGAATTGTTTTTCTGTCGCCTTTATTAATTGTTCCACATTCAACTCTTGCCTTATTTGATCATTCCTTTTTCCATATCTTCTCGTGATTGCCGTCATTCTTTTGAAATATTTCATTCCTATTGCTTGCAGCCTGCTTTTCATCGTTTTCGTCTGCATCCATCTCTCACTTCTTTTGTATATATTTCTATTCTTCTTCTCCGTCACTCTACAGTTGTACTCCTACACATTTAAAACTTTTCACTTGCTCTAATTCTATATCGTCTAGTTTTATTTATCAGGTAATCTACGATACCACTCAAGCAATTGTCAAATTTTATATGTATATTGCGAATATCGTGTATTTGGTAAAACGCTAATCAAAATTTGGCTAATCATCCCTACCAACAATTTGTTGAGGTTATTTCCAAAATTTACAGTAGTAAATATTATTTAAATTTTATAAAATAAGATACTCCTGCACATTCCGCGTTGAGTTTTTATTCTAGACATCCAGGTTTTTTGAAAAAAAAAATCAAAATCACAACAGCTTACAATTTTAACATTGAAACTGCAAAACCGAATGCTCTGAAATTTTGCAAACGTTGTAAGGTTATCGTAAGGGTGGAAAACTGAAAAATCGAAGAATCCCAACACTGAAATATTGAAAAATTAAAAAATTGAAGAATCGAGAACCTGAAAAGTCGAAAAATTGAAAATTTTGAAAACCCAAAAATTGAAAAACTAAAAATATCAGAAAACGAAAAATTGGAAAATCGAGAATCTGGAAGTTCAAAAATCGAAAATTTCTATTCAATAAATTTTTTTCGTTTATGTCCCTCTAAAACAGTAATGATTTCATTTTACATTTTTGCCGAATAAATTTTCTGTAATTTATATTTATAACAAGAATAAATGTTTGTGCTTCCAAAAGCATTGTTTGTTATTTCAAATCCAATTCCCATCTGAAGGACTCAGATTGGATTATGGAACGTTTTAGGTGAAATTTTTAAATTGAAATTAGAAAGTAAAATGGTACGTTTCACCCCACAATTTTCTTTCATCTATTTAAGCTATTTTTGCCTGTTTTTTCATTTATTTTAAGGTACTGTATCATTTTTTTAACCAAACAGATCAATTTTAACGTAGAAGATTTTTTATTGCTTTTTTATAAAACAAAAAGGTCATTTTTTGTCGTATTTTTTTTAATGCGTTTTTTACCATTTCACCCCATTTTGAAGATTATTTTTTAAAAAGTTGTGGATTTCTAAAGATTTTGACCATAATTCTTGCGGATCCAGATAGAAACCGCTGACTTTGAAGTTTAAAAAAAAAAAAAAAAACACTTCAACGTCAAAACTGGCATATTTTCTTAAAAAAAAAAATGATAAAGCACCTTATAATAAATTAAAAAACAAAATGTAGGGTAAAACGCACCTTTTTACTTCCTACTAGTTTGCCCCCTTTTTTTTTGGTATTTAATTTTATAGGATTGCATACTCTTGCATGTGTGATTTATGAATCCGTGTCGAATTTTCACCTTAGACATGCAGATTTTTGGACAAAGAATCAAAATTGTATAGCAACATTTTACAATTTAACTTTGAAATTGTACAACCGAATGCTCTGAAAACTTGTAAGCTTTTTAAGACTATCGTAAGCATGGTAAATCGTTCATCAAATTTTTTTCGTTTATGGCTTTCTAAAAAATGATGACGTCATTTTATAATTTTACAGAACATATTCCCGCATGTGTGACTTATGAGTCCGTGTTGAGTTTTTACCCTTGACAACCAGATTTTTGGAAAAAAAATCAACATTGTATAACAAAATTTTACAATTTAACTTTGAAATTGTAAAAACCGAATGCTGTAAAATCATGCAAATATTTTAAGATTATTTGAAACATGGTAAATTGTTAATCAAAATTTATCCGTCATTTTACATTTTTGCCGAATTTCTTCAAATCAACGAGTATTTTTGGGAAAAAAAACTGAGTATGAATTAATCAGTTCTTTCCTCTGCGTTGAGGACACAAAATCAACCAAATTTCATTTTCTTTCAACAGCTGATGAATCTAAACGTGTAATAGTCGAATTGGGTTGAAGTATAAACACAAACACTAGAAGTTAAGCATATACTGAGACATTGAAAATGTCTACATTTTTCTCCGTTAGTTTTATAAACGTTAACAATTATCACAAAAACGAAAATCGCAAAATCTAATTTTATGGTTTTTTAAAGAGACGGACTTTGTCGAACTATACTTCAAGAGCGAGGGAAGTTCTTTCAAAAAAGCCGTTCTCAATGTTTTCCCTAGCTTTGTTTTTCTTCTTAGTGTCATCAAAATTGCAAAAACAACATCATTTTTTTCCAAAATACTAATATTACCGGCAGAACTGAAAATAATAATAGTAATAATAATAATACCCAAACGACATATATGTCTAATACCAACAGGGTCCCACTTTGTGAATTTCCCGGTGGACCCCCACGTCCTCAATCCGACACTGCGTCGCTTACACTTACCATACTTTACACAGCCTCTTTTCGTCCACAAAGTTAATTTCGTCTTCTTCGACTGCTTCTCTTTCTTCATCTTCTTTTTACTTCCCATGTAATCCGGCAAGTGACTACTTTCATGTTTTCTCAACATTTCATGACTTCTATAGTATGAAAAATAGGTTCCCCGTTTACGTCTGTCCGTCTGTCGCTGTGTTCGTACTGTATTCTCCGAAAGGAATCGGATCGACTGTTTTATGTTTTATATGTATTTTAAGAATATCGTAATCAACAACGATTTATTGACGTCACCTCTAAATTTTGCATGGTAAATGTTATCTAAATTTTATAAAATGAGATACTCCTGTACTTATTTATGGTTTATGAATTCGTCCTGATTTTTCACCCTAGACATTCAAATTTTCGCAACCAGCCACTGATTTTATAATTTTTTAAAGAAAGTGGTTTTCTTGAACTTCAGAGGCGACGTTGTTTTAAACCAATTTTTCTTCTTCCGTAATTTTACAT